AACTGTTGTAAATATTTTGTGCTTTCAATTAGTTATGCATCATGTCTTCAAAGATGATTTGTTTGTGTATTATTTATCCTGTGTTGTGTTGTGATGTTTCATACTGTATAATAAATATCAATACATATGACCTGTCTTCTTGCCAGTATGTGGTCATTTTGAATATTAATTAGTTCATGCATATTAATGAGTGAATATTCATACCGTCCAGCACTCTCTGTCTGCTGGGGAGAACCCTGTAGAAGTCACTGAAGGATCCTCTGTTCATAGATAAAAGATAGACTACATGAATAAATCACAAGATTAATATTCAATGTGAAGATTAGTCTGAAATGCACACTAGACCCTTTCAATGTGCATTGTTGTTATGTAATAATAATCCCATTATTACACAGCAATTTTTTGCCATGTTAATCATGCATATCCCGGTGTAATTACTACTGTAGCAATTTTGTAATGTACTATATTGAGTAACACAAATAAAATATTGATTTATTTGCAGAAAGAAGAGTATATAATAGAGAAACTAATTGAATTCACAGGTATAACAAATTTAAAATATATCATGGATATTATGTATATGTTGCAGTCATAAAATTATTATACAGTGCAATTGTATTCTGTGATAAATTATTAAGAACAAAACTATTATTATCTGCATATTTATTAAAATAATAATTAGCAATCAAGAATATATTTTTACAGTATATACATCAGTTTCCCAGTAATAACAACATTTAGCCTAAGTTTTATACAATAAATTTTCTGTATTTTTAATATTTTTACCAAAATACGGTCATTGAAATGGTGCAGTTTCATGTTGTTTTTTTCTACTGTAACAATACTTAGCAGACACATATTACTAAGATAAAAATCTGTTTAAGGCTAGTGCGGATGTTTTGTACACAAAATCTCATAAAACAAACGTTTTGACTCCTGTTTGCAAAGCACACAACGAGAGCCTTTGCAGTTACCCTGTCTGTCTGTATGTATGTATGTCTGTATGTATGTATGAAACTTGGTACTAGTACTTAGCTGCTCTTGAGAATTGTGTAGATAAGTTTTACATTAAAATCTGCACATATTAATTACCCGATTGCATAATTGTTGGTCAGTTTCACCTTTTTTACCAATATCTCAAGCACTAATCTTATTTCAATGAATCTTAGAACATAAATCTACTAATAAAATAATAATAAAAAAATAATTATTGCATTTCCATAAGACTTTGTATATAAGTGCCTGGGAACAATGCTAAAGACCTGATTAGTTTGGGATTGAAATTCGAGCATACTAATAATTGCATAATATGCATAATCGTCACATTTCATTGAAATTTGGTTCATAGATACTCTAGGGTAATCCACAGACGTGATTAGTTTAATGTTGAAAAAACATGCATTTATTATCTAATTTTTGCTATCTCAAAAAATCAGATTTAAATTGAACTTTTAGTAGAGGTACTATGAAATAAATCAGACAGCGAACCACAGATGTAAAATAAAATTTATTTTGTATAAGTATTATGTCCTTCAATAATGTGGATCAAATTGTTTTCATGTTGTGCATTTCAAATAGCAGACAAGCTTCTTGTTTGAAAGACTAATGCTCAATTTCGAATTAATTTGTAGTATGCCTCCAATACTCTATATTAAGCTTTCTTTTTAATTTTTTCATTATTAGTCTCCGTTCGGACGAAGTCCGAAAACAGGGACTTATAATTCGGTATCCGTCTGTGCGTCTGTGCATCCTTGCGACTGTTCGGAGTCATATCTCAGAATCCCTTGGACCGATTCTGTTCATTCTTTGCATGTGCCTAGTACTATCTGGGACATATGCACATGCAGTGGTTTAGCGATTTGATTCAAAATGGCCAACTGGCAGCCATCTTGTTTTTTGAAAATGTTGTATTTTGGACATGCTTTGTCAGTTGTCATAGATTATACATGTTAGGTTACATATCCATGACAATTTATTTCGCAATTGGATCAAAGATGGTTGACTGGCAGGCATCTTTTTTTTTTTTTTTTATGCGGTATCTTGGAAGTGCTCTGTCAGTTTTCATTCAAATTTGGCACATACATGTATTTTATACATGTTAGGATGCATGTCCATGACAATTTGTTTCAAAATCTGGTCAAGGATGGCCGAT